TGAATGGGGGAGAAACAAACCAAAAGGATGAATTAAATATGCTCTGTGAGGGAGATAGAGACATGGCTGTGAGAGGGCTAGGTAAATATCTGTAAAGCTCCTGGAAGGGGCTGACACGTAGTAAGTACTCAACACACGTTAATCCTTGTTGTAATTACTATTCTTACTTTTAGAGGAATTTGTGTGACTTAGTCTACACCACCCTTGTTCAATCTCACCCCACCCTGCTCAATCCCACAGACTATCAGCAAAAAATACAAAATAGGAGTAGGTAAAATGAAATAAAGGTGTTTTTAATGAATATTAAGAATGTCTGATTACAGTACAGCCACCTGTGAGCTCCAAACTGAACGGGCTTCTATTAAGCATGAGACCCAGTATATGCCCCGTGAATATGTGTTGCACTGAATTAAAGTAAATATCGGTCATGAAACGTGCCCAGTTTCAGTTCTGGAGGCTTAGTGGCTATTTTAACCTTTTGTTTTGCAGCTTGAGAAGGAGCTGCTTTCCATAATCATGAAACAACCATTCTGAATCAGTCCTTAGAAGCATTACGTGCAGGGAGATAACATCTTTCCTTGTAAGTGGCTATTGTTACAACGGAAGAACTGTCTCATCTCCCTGGTCATCACAGTGAAAAGGCTGTAAGAAGCCATCCAGCACGGCCATCAGAGAACCTTCAGAGCAGCATGGGGTCCCGGAATGGGCGCCTGCCCCGAGGAGGGACCACGTGGCCACAGCACCTGACACTGTTACAGCCTCCTCTCTTCACCAAGTGAATGCCGGCCTCTGGCTTTCCCACCTGAGAAACCAAGCTGCCATGCTAGCCTTTGGCTCCTGAACTGCTTTATAAGTGTTCGTGCGTGGAGAATTGAAAATTCCTAAATAAGAACTGTGTTGTTCATCCCTCAGTCTGCCTGGCTAGGGGTAAGGAAATGGGATTGGGCCGGGTATTTGGGTTTCTCCTCTTATTTCATTCAGGTACTTCTAATGGGCCGTCCTCAGTGGTGGGAAATAAGAGGCAACTGTGGTTCTTTTTCCATATGTTTAAGGGCATAAAATTCTTGGATTAATTCCTTAACAGTGATGGGGGAGCTAAGTGCGCAGAATGTAGAAGCCAAGCACAGGGGGCCGCGTCCAGATAGTCCTAATTCAGGAGAGAAATCAGGAACGACTATAAACGGGGACTGAGTTCCACTGTACGAATGTCAAAACAGGCAAACGTCCTGAGCAGCGTCCCAGTACTGCTACCTGAGGGCACCAAGCAAACATGATGGAAACCGAGGGAGAAGACAGCATGCTCACTAACCAATCTCTTCATACAAAGTTAACAGTAAAAGGTTGATGAAAATTAATCTGACAAAGACATAAATAATGAAAACTTGGAAAGTTCAGCCAAAGACGTCTTGGTCCCTAATACCACCTTTTTACTTTGACAACTGTGTAGGCAAAGGGTTACATGAATATTCATGGGAGTGCCAACACCTGAACACTACTCCTGAGATTAATGAGTAAACCCTTAGACTCCTAAGTCATCACTTTCATAGATCTCACACACTTTGTATTTAAATAGACAGATACCCTTAAACTTCTAAGTCATCACTTCCATAGATCTCACACACTTTGTATTTAAATAGGCAGATAATCTGTGGGAAATGCAGCTAAAGGAAGTCCTTAACAGTCTACATTCCATCGTTGTTATTAGGTGAAATAACACAAATCTATTTCCTCTTGCGATTACTCAAAATGCTATAGGGCTAACGGAAGCATGAAAGCATTAGTACCGAAGCACAGTGGCCCAAGTAACGCTGCCCAGGTAATGCAGACACTGAAGCCAGGCTGTCTTTGCGCAGAGCTATTGAGCTGACTGACAAATTCAGGGCCAACAGTCGATGTGACTTTTTCCTATAGAATTTGGCCAACTCTGACTAAAGGGACTTACTTAATCAACCAAGTATCTCAGAAACACAGATACACAGGAAAGGTGTCAGCAGCCCCACATCCAATCCTTTCCTTAAAAAATCAGCAAATATGGCCAAATTAGACAATGCATTAATATTGGGTTGGCCAAAAAGTAACATCTTACGGAAAAACCTGACCAAACTTTTTGGCCAACCCATGACAACTGGAATGTAAATCCATTAAAATCCTAGGAAACAATCTCCATGAACACGAATGAGAGAAAGTAGCCCTTGGTACAAAAAGGCAACTACCATCCCTTGTCTGTGGTTGGAAAAGGTTAAGACACACCTCCCTGTACTGGTCTTGATTTCCCATCAAGTGATTGAGGCCATTTAATTCATTGCCTGAATCTTTCATTTGACTGATGTGGGTGGAATTCTTAAGATAGAGTTAAAAAAACAAAACAAAACAAAACAAAAAAAACCATGGAAAATTTATGGAAAAAAGAACAAAAAAGAAAATAGTTTAAATCTTGCATAAGTGGTTCACTGACAGGCAGGGGGAAAATAAAGCAAACGCTGCTGACATTTTCCTTTACTTATAAAAACAAGACACAGCACAGTGGTGTAAATGCAGAAATAAGTCCCAAAACTGTGAAAGCAAAAATACTTTGTTCCAGTGCTTACAAAATAGTTAAGTAGGTTGCCTTTACTATTACAATATCCTCATGAGTCCTTCAGGGCCTCCCACCTTCCCTATGCAATTGAACAAGTGAACAGATATAACTCTGTCATGGATTCATGCAGGGGAGACCCTTCTAACCCCTGCAAGAAGATGCACAGGAAGAAAATAAAGATCCTTTGTTTTACAGCTTGGAATAAAATGTATGTTCTTCCCATTCACTGGGGGGAAATGAATGTATCTGGAGTCTAAGTAGTACTATCAGCGTTGAATCATATTCAAATCCCTTTCTCAAGACAGAACTAATTTCTAAAACATCTCCAAGTGTGCGGTGAACGCCTTTGTCTGTTAGTTGTACACAGCTGAGTGCATGAGCACGTGTGAGTGTGAGCCGCTTTATGAATTCTTGGTGGTGCATTCAGAGTGCTTAAGGCTATGTCTGCCTATCAGACCTCATCTACAGACATAAGGAAATTAAATATTAAAACACTACTTTAAAATCACATTAAGGATCTGACATGACACAATAAAAGCCAGTAATCTGAATAATAAAGAAATTTAGCCAATCTCTACCACCTCTTCTAAGTGAATCACTGCATATTTAAAATGGGGAGCAACCTGCTTTGTGCTACTGGCCCGGATCTGTATTCCTCTGGTATCTGTTTATTTTGTTACTCCTTTCATATTATTAAAATAAGATTTCATATACTTAACTTGCCTTTTTCTTTCCTTTATAAAACAGAAAACGAACTTAAAAAAACGGGTACTACCAGTTCATGACTCAGGGAATCTCTCTGGAAAATGAGAGTTAGAGAGAAGTGTGCGTGTCTTTTACGTGTGTGTATTTTCACTTGAATATGTGTAACCTTCCCGATACTGTGAATCATCTCCTAGTAGAAGCTCTGGTCTTTTGATTAAATACACTCAAATACATTTCAAAGAGGATATTCCATAATCATTAGACCCTAAGAGCATTCTAGGAACGGCTTCAGTTTATCATTCAAACTATCGAGGCATATGGTAATGCTTTCTGAAATAAATATTTCATCTAAAATAATAGAAAACACACATATAAGTCAACCACTTTTCAAAAATAATCTTGGCACACAATGTTTATGATACATAAGCTTCCCAGTGTCATATTCTGAACATATGTGGCTCAGTCCTAAGTCTATAAAGCAGACGTCAAATGACAGGAAAAACTACATTTTCTATTGTTTTTCTTTATGTGTTCCTCGTTTTGGACTCCCCATACTGAGAAACGGTTGAATCCAAAATTTTTAAAGCCAAGGTAAAATCTCTGAAAACCAGGGTCTGGGGTGAGAAACAGACTCTTAACCCAAGACAAGGCAGAACCATTCCTTTGGGACATCAACACGATAGAGTTTTTTTCCTGCACTGAAAGCCAGAGAACCCACATAAAACAAAAACAGAATTGCTTCCGCTTAGAGTACATAGAAGACCACCAATGGTTTGGGAATGGTTATCGTGTCTAGCTATAAAACCAGATTTTAAACTCGAGGTTACTGACAGATTATAAAAGGTTGACAGCTGGATAATCTGTAAAATATGCATCATGTACACATGAAAAGGTTGCAGTTTATGAACAATAAAACACTGTGTCTGTTGGCATTTAGTGCAATCTTTTCCTATCTTGATCTCTGCACTGGGTGGAAAAAAAAAGGGAGGAAAACCGGCTCGGCTGAGCTTTTCTTTTTCTCTCCAAACAAATGATCTAAATAAACCCACCAAATCCAAACTCTCCTTGATCATCCTAGTGGTAGATAAATACCTATTTGCACACCTAGCAACTGAAAGTACCGGGGGTTTCTGCCAATCAGTGATGCTTCCATTCATCAGGTAGATTACCTGACTCAGCTTTGTAGGTGTTTTCCACACAGTGATACAGCAAAGGGTCCTTTTTTTTTTTTTTCCTGGAAAGGAAAAGGAAAAGAAGGAAGGAAAGTGTCAGGAAGAGGAGGGCTCCTCTGATTCTCCCCATGGTTCCTGCAGGCCCGCTGGACACTGGCACAGCCAAATATCATGGCGTGACGCTTCCTTAGATTGGGTTAAGTTCTGTTTTCTGCAAAGGCAAGTAAAGGTGACTTCCTAGCGTTCAGTGCGTTAAAGAAAAAAGAAAGAAAGAAAAAAAAAGATTTTTAAAAAGGTAAAAAAGAAAAAAAAAAAGTGCTTGAAAATAATTCTCAGGGACTTATCTGGAGGGGAAATCCCACGTGTGGCATCCCCTGCCTGGTATATCCTGCCCCTGCTGGCGACACAAGGACCTCCTTGGTCCAGGCTCGGAGCAGGGACGGTCCGAAAGGCCTTTCTTTGAGGGGTGCAAAACTTGCTGCAGTGCTTTCCGAGGAAAGTTGTGTTCCTCGACAAGCGGCCCCTCCACCTCAGCCTCGGAGACCTCACAACTTTTTGGCACTGTCGTGGCACGCCGCGGCCCGGAGGGTGGTCCCGGCCAAGCCCCGGCTGCTGACCCGGCGGACCAGCACCTTGGACACCGGGATTTTGGTTCTGGGCAGCTCGCTCCTGGCTGGTTGCTGGTGCACCACCGCGTGGCTGGGTGGAAGGTTCGCGAGGTGCTTGATGCTGATCGGGATCTTGGAGTCCTTCAGCAAGCTCCCCGGCGTTCGCAGGGCACAGGTGACGGTGACCGGAGACACGGGCTTTAACCGGGACGAGCAGGACGTGTCCTCGGCGGCGGCGGCGGGCAGGGCCGCGGGGCTTCCATCGGGCTCGGCGTAGAGGTCGTAGAGCGCGTCACCGCTGTCGCTGTCCCCGGGGAGGCCCGCCTTCCTCACGCCGCCGCCCGAGCCGTCCTCCCGCGGCCCGGGGGTGGGCGAGTCCCAGTAGCCCTCGTCGCTGTTGGGGACGTCTTCCTGCGGCTCCTCGTCCGGGTGCTTGGGCTCCTCCTTCGGCTGGAGCTCCGTGGGGAGCCGGTGCAGCCTCCGGCGCTTGACCGAGGACGCGTCCTTGGCCCCCTCGGCCCGCCTGGCGTCCTTGGGGGTCTCGGGGGCCACCTGCGCTTCGGGCGCCGCCGCCGCCGCCCCCTGCTGGGGCCCCAGGCCCTGGTCCTCGGTCTGGGAGAGCATGTCCCAGAACTCCTGCAGGTACGAGTCGTCCGCCTCGGCCGGGCTCGCCATCTCCTCCCCGCCTCCCTGGTAGGCCACCACGCCGGGGGGCTTTGGGGCGGGGCCCGGCTGGCCCGGCGCGGGGGCATGCCTGGCACAGCTGGGCCCTGCCTCGTCCTCGGGGTCTGCGATAATATCTCCGCAGCCTGTAAGAGAGTCAAAGCTTTTCAGTGAAGTCACGTCAGAGAACATCAGACAAATACGATCGGCCGATGGGTCGGAGGGCGGATCGGCCGAAGAAGGGTCGGGGGCGGCGGGCGCGCGGCCGCCTTCGGAGTCGGGCCGGGGCGCAGTCTCGGCCGGCGCGGCCCCGGGCCCCGCGGCGTCCTCGGCCGGCCGGCCCTCCCCGGCGCGCGGCTCGGGCTCAGGCTCGGGGGGCGCGCGGGGCCGCTCGGCGCGCCCGGGTCCCGCGGCGCCCTCTCCCGGGGCGCAGGCCGGCTCCGGCTCCCCCGCCGCGGTCTCACCTGCTGGCTCCGGCTCGCGCGCGGCCGCGGGCGCCTCCTCCTTGACGCACTCCAGGCTGGCGGTGAGCGAGCCCGGCCGCGCCAGGCTGCCCGGGGCCCCCGCGCGCCCCGCCGGCGCCGCATCCTTGGGCCGCCGGTCCTTCCTGCGCCAGCGCACGCCGCCCAGGAGCCCCCGCAGCCCCCGCTTTTGTCTGCCGCCGGCCTTGCCCGCGTCGGCCTGCTCCGCCCCACCGCTCTCGGGCCGCCCGTTCTTCCGCAGGAGCGAGAAGAAGCTGTGCGACTTGGCCACCGAGCCGCCGGCCGCCGGGCCCGCGCCGCCCGGGGCCGCCCGGGGGGCCGCGGGGCCCGGCCGCGCCCCGTCCCCGCCGCCCCGCCGCCCGCGCGCGGCTCCTCGCGGCGGCCGCCCTCCAGCGCCAGAGCCTCGGCCAGCCCGTCGTGCGTCCGGCTGCGCACCAGCCCCGCGGGCCCCGCGCCCTTCCCGTCCCCTTTGTTTTTGACCCCGAAGATGCTAGGCATCGCGCCGCCCGGCTTCCTCTTCTTGAACAGTTTGAAGGCGGCTCTGTTAATCTTGCCCGACGGCGGCTCGGCGGCCGGCGGCTCGGCGGCGCGATCACAATGCAAGTCCATGTCTGCCGCGAGGGTCCCGGCCGCGGCCCGCGCCTTCCTCCGGCGGCCCCCCGCGGCCGCGCGCCCGCCGCTGACAGCCGCGCCGCGCACGCCCGTCTCCATGGCGACGCAGCAGCCTGGCGTCAGCGCGGCCGCGCCAGCCCGCTGTCAGCCGCGCTCTAAATCAACCCGAGCCGCGCCGCCGCCGCCGCCGCCGCGGGAGGAGCGCGCAGAAAAGACCATCTCCCCTCCCGCCGGCGCTTATATAACGCCCTAACCCACTTCGCGTCCGGCTTTGTGCTGCAGCTCTTCTGCAGCGAGAGCGGGCGGCGGAGCCTCCTCGAGCTGATTGTAGAAATTAGAGCCGTAATCTTGCAATGCAAATTCCATCCAGTCTCACCCACCTTCAGATTCCTCCTCCTGATCGCTCTTTTCAGAAGCCCAATCGTGGATCGCAAAATGCCCCCGATTGGACAAAGAAATCCAACCCAACACAAAACACTGATTTCTCTAACCACCGGCCCCGGACTTCATGACTCCTCATGCCTTTCCCACGTCCTGCATGTCCGTTTTTATCATTTGGGTGCCAAGCCCGGCGGCCACGGAGGATTGTCTGTTTACATCTGTCTTGTCCAGGGCTGAGCACAGCCTCCGGGTCGATGGGGAACCCGGATCACTGAGGTTCCGATTCTTGCTACAGAAGCATCGGCCATCAGTCAGATACCAATCAGCAACTCTGCAATGAAAGTGCAAGTTCCCTGGGGTGGAAGTTGACTGGTCCTTTGGGACAACCCTGGCTTTTATCCCAGACTCCAGCTACTGGGGCTGAGGTCACAGAAGACACCACCCAGTCTGACCGAGCTGAGGAAGGAGGACCCGGTTTGAGGTCCACTCCACAGGTGGTTCTTGGAGTCCAGGGTCTACGCTCTCCTTTTCCATCCAGCGGGACAGATGCGTTACTCCTGCCCCTGCTGCTGCAACCCCCGTTCACCACCTCCCAGGACTGTCCTGCAGTCCTCTCCCCTATGGGGCAAGGAGAAGCCTGCCGGTGTCCCTGAGTGCCACTTGGTCTGGCTGCTTAGTCTGGGAAAAAGGAAATCTTGTCCCAGGGAACCGCCCAATGTGGGGATCTCTGCTCTGTTTTGACTTTGAAAGTGGCTGCAAATTTGGAGAAGCATGTGCCTACATATAATCTATGTTTCATATTATTTAATAATATGTAATAAATATATGATAATAGTAGTTATTACACAGTATTTATTGTTATTCATTAAATATTACTTAATAATGTGATATTTACATATATACAAATATCCATCTTTCCCCTAATCATCTTGAGCTTTGTTTTTTTGTGCACTACTCAGAAGCCTCAGAAACCCCAATCCCCATGGACTGAACTTGTAGTGTTACTAACAACATATCGACCATTGCAGCTTCTGTAGCATGGAACACGGTGTGAACTTAGGCCTTGGGGTTACTAGTTGTATAGTTGCCCTTTTCTGTTGATTTTGATCAAAGACACTCTTTTAAAATTGAGAAATCAGAGTTTGGATTCAGGAAAGGGTTTTCTTCCCAGCTCTCTCCCACTATTTGCATGCATCTCTGCCAGGACAGACTGCAAAGCTGAGACCAGACAGACGTTTCCCAGTTGTAACTGACCATTTGCCCTGATGAGCCAGAGCCCTCATTGCCATAGGGAGAAAATAGGTATGAAGCACCATAAAGAGAAACCCATTTGTTATTCCTTCACAGCCTCTTAGGGGACGTTGAAAACCTCTCAATTCTTTTACACACACCATGCAATTGCTTAGCTACGTGGGTTACTACAAAACTGTAGTAACCCTGGGGTGGAAGGCTAAATAAACCCTTTCATAAACTCTTGCAGGGTCTGAAAGAGCTGATGACTGGAATCAGAAGGAAATGAAGTGGTCTATAGAAACTCTTCCCTTCCCCATCCCTGAGCCTGAGATTTGGGAGAAGGTGGACCTGCTTTTCCACTGGAGAGCTCTGATCTCACAGGACGGACCGAATGAGTCTCATTTACGTGAGAATCCTTGGGACCCCAGGAAGAAGTCTGGCCAGGACTTTGGGATGGACATCATTCCTTTGGGACACAGAACCTAACGCAAAGAGAAAGGGACAAAGCAGTCTTCAGCCTGGGGCAGGTGCCCTGGCGGTCCTGAGGTGGAAGGGAGCCCGCATGCAGGAACCATCCAAGGGCCCCGGGGAAGGTGAGCTTTAGAAGCTGTGGTGTGAGTGGGGACCTGCAGATGTCCTCCAGCCCAAGGGCCTGGTTACGGGGACCAAGAGAGGAAAGAGGGAGGCCAGCTGACAAGGACTTCACCAGAAGGACCAGACAGATGGGGAGACCCTCCAGCCACTCGGGAGGGTGATGGTTAGGGTCCAATCATGCTGTTGGGTGGCAGACTGAAGTCAAGGCCATTGTCATGAATCCCTGCAAAGGCTTCTCACACCTTACATTGCTCTTCACAGTCAAGCGTGGGGACGCAAAGACTGCACAGAATGGTGACTTTTTCTCTGAAAGAAGATCGTGACCGTGAAGATCATTTTACCAGAAGCACCTCTGTTTAGGTTATGCTTTCTTCTTTCATTCTTTCTCCTCCAGCTTGCCACTGCCCTGTCCCACCCAAATTTAGAGAGTGAACAGAAAATCAGAGGATAAGGGAATAGAGGAAGCATCTCTGGGGCTTCAGGGTATTCCAAAATGGCGGGATGCATCACAAATGTACACAGCGCATGCTTCTGCTGGAGATGTGTGCACGCTTGTCTTTTCTGCACAAGGCAGTGCGTGCCATTGGAGGAGGATAATCAAAACAAGAAAACTGGAGAAATGCATGAGGAATCACTTGCGAGCCCACCATCACCACCACCATCACCACTACCACCATCATCATCACCACCACCACCATCATCATCATCATCACCATCAATTGCTTTCTCAGGTGTCTTCCAACCAGCCTGTCCCTTGCCTTTGTCCTAAGATTCCTTAGGGGAATTTTCCATTTCAAGGGAACCACCCAGAACATAACGTGGAGAAGGCTGGGCTCCAAGCTGCCCTTCAAGCCACGGTGTGGCTGCCAGAGGAGCTGCCCCTGCAACAGCATCCCCATTAAGGAGACCACGGGCTCTACTTTAAATTTGCTTCAGGTCTTTAAAGGGATAATGTTTAATCAATGAAGTCTGAAAATGATGCTTGACTTGGGACCAACACCTCCCATCCTCAGACCACTTAGCTGCTCTGGACCCCAGCCCCACTGGAAATGCCAGCTCCCCATTCCTGTCCATCTGTACTCCCACCCCCACGATTATTCTCCAGGGCAAGCATCAGAAGCCCTGTGATGTAAGTGAAGACCTCAACTGTGCTCCAAACCAAAGTCCTTGTTATGGGGACTGTTAGGAACAGCCCCAGCTTTGCGAGCCTTGACCCTCAGCCAGCGTCTACTCTGTCCACAAATCCCAGGGCTGGCCCTGCCCTCTGAGGGGTGCTGTGGGCCTCGTACAAGCTGAGACCACAATTTGAAGTGAACAGTTGCCAGGAGAGACCCAAGTGGGTGCCCCTTGCAGGGAGTCTGGGAGTCTTCCCCTTCCTGGGGAAGGGGTGCCGTGGACCAGGGCCGGGAGGATGGGGACTAGAGGGACCTCAGCACGGCAGGCCCCAAGCTAGACAGAAGGTCTTATGTTTTCTTTTTCATATTTTGATTCCTGACTTTCCAGAACATCAGCTTTCACTGTGGGTTAATAGCTGTTCCGGGTATATGTGTATTCAGAGGAGGAACTCATTTCTAACAAGTCACATGCAGGTGTAAAAGGCCCGGCACGATGCGTAATTTCCCACGTTAACCCGGTGCACAACTGGGGCTGCTGAGGAGAGAGAGCTCGCCCCATGAGGAGCGAGAACCCACATGGGTTCTGCAATGACTGGGAAGCTCAGTGCGTGAGGCGGTCTGGGCTCAGCAGGTCATCACTCAGAAGATGTCACTCGGCCTGGGCCCCGTGGGTTTGTACCTGGATTCTGGGTCACGGGGGTGTGCAACAGGAGACCAAATAAGAGCAAAATGAGCGCTCCTCTGCAATGCCGGGGATCCGGGCGCCGGGGCCATGCAGCAGCTGGCAGTGCTGCATTTGGGCAGAGGCCATGCCTCTCTGGTGACTTCTGGTGATGGCTGCAATCCTGGCGTCCCTCGGCTTCTAGACACGTCATCCTAAACTCTGCCTTCACCTCCAAGCAATGTTGAACTTACAACTTAGTCACACCTACAAAGACCCTGCTTCCAAATAAGGTCGCATCGACAGGTGCCAGGGGTTAGGACTTCAACAGATCTTTGTGGGGACACGATTCTACCCACAACAAGCATCCTTGTCAGCATGGTGATGGCACCCCTCCCCTCCATTCTTCAGCGCAGTCACCAGTGCCCTTGACACAGACATCCACGTTGGTGGGCTCAAACTGGGCATGGGTGCTCCAGCAAGTGGGGGCCCTTGGCAGATTTCAAGGTCATGGGAGGCACTTCTGGAGTTGCCAGCAATGAGGGGACAGTACCACCGCCAGCCAGAGTGAACAAGAAAGAAAATGGGGGCTTCCCTGGTGGAGCAGTGGTTAAGAATCCACCTGCCAATGCAGGGGACACGGGTTCGAGCCCTGGTCCGGGAAGATCCCACATGCCGCGGAGCAACTAAGCCCGTGCGCCACAACTACTGAGCCCGCGAGCCACAACTACTGAGCCTGCGAGCCACAACTACTGAAGCCCATGCGCCTAGAGCCCGTGCTCCGCAACAAGAGAAGCCACAGCAATGAGAAGCTCGTGCACTGCAACAAGAGTAGCCCCCACTCACCACAACTAGAGAGAGCCCATGCACAGCAACGAAGACCCAATGCAGACAATAAATAAATAAATAAATAGAAAATGGGGGTGGCCACGAGGACTAGGTCCTAACATCCATCTGTGAGATCCTGGGGTCTCTCGGGATTATCCAGAGGGAATGTAACTCAACAGTTCCCTTTTCTCCTGGTCTGCTACCTGGGTGGAGCTACTCAG